AATGTGTACAGTGTATGTGTTAGTAAAACATACTTACCTTGACTTTCTCCCCTACAACCTCGACAGTCTTTATTAAGAAATCTACTACAAATGTGTACAGTGTATGTGTTAGTAAAACATACTTACCTTGACTTTCTCCCCTACAACCTCGACAGTCTTTATTAAGAAATCTACTCCAAATGTGTACAGTGTATGTGTTAGTAAAACATACTTACCTTGACTTTCTCCCCTACAACCTTGACAGTCTTTAATAAGAAATCTACTCCAAATGTGTACAGTGTATGTGTTAGTAAAACATACTTACCTTGACTTTCTCCCCTTCAACTTCGACAGTCTTTATTAAGAAATCTACTCCAAATGTGTACAGTGTATGTGTTAGTAAAATATACTTACCTTGACTTTCTCCCCTTCAACCTCGACAGTCTTTATTAAGAAATCTACTCCAATTGTAGCTCCTTGGCATGGAGGAAACAAACCCTGCAATAATTATTATACAATAAATATATCATGTGTAACATTTGAATGTCATCAGAATTACAAAATAGTATAAATACACTATTTGAGATGAAACAGAGTAGTTGTGTACACCGTAATGAATAACTGTATTGTTATGTCTCTACTCGTTTGATAATTTCCAGGGGAAGTTCTTTCCCAGAAACTTCAGCGGTACAAGTCCTTTCTTAAATAAAACTAGTTTATTCTTTCTCAATACAACTTTGCAATACGCTTAATTTCCACAGTCACTTAAACACTCGCTATAACTCTCAACGATTCACGCACTTTACTAACGAGCTTGACTCGACTGTCCATCTCTGTCTGTCTGCAATTTAATTATCTATCTGCCATCACTTCATTTGCCGGCTTATATATATACAGAATAGAGGGCGTCTGGAGAACACTAGAGGCTTCACGAACGGACATGATCTTTCTAGAATCTCACGACGTGTTACTAGCATCACATGACTTCCACTGTCGTAACAGTATTCTATAAATTTTACTTTTGACCTCTAAACTATACATGTAATTATTTATGCAGGTATACACATTACACTTGTAAACATACATGACTATAATTATTTGGAAAAAAATTTTTCATCATCTTATTTAGACACTAATATTTATTTTTAATTGTTTGTTTTTGCCAAAATAAAAATTTATACACAAAAACCAAAATTTATAACAATTATGTTATACTAATGCTCAATTCTTCTCTTAATGGGAAAAAATTAACAGATGGAAAATTGTACTTTCTATGTTATTTCTGAATAACTCGAGTAAATTGACAAAACAAAACTTCAAGAACAACACTGCATGTATACGGTAGAATCCGACTTGCAATGTTAGGCCTAACAAACCAAAACTTTGAGAGAGCTACAATGGGATCAAAACCAAAAAGTACAAATATTGTTTCAAAAATCATGAGGGGGAGAAAGAAATTGGTAATGAACAAGTGATCATTGTTGGGAGAGAAAATTAATGGAGTTTCTTATTGTTGGAAACCTTTTAGGTAATTATCTAAAAAAAAACTTTCTGCGACAATACTAGCAAAGTTTAAACCAGTTTTTAAGGATTATTCATAGACTTGAATTAGAGGATAATAAAGGATTAAAATATAACCGAAGTAACAGAAATGTTAAAACTGCCTAACCAAAGACTGGTGGTGCTGACAATCAATAAACCATTTCTAACATTGTCCAAGAAGTGACATGCCAAATTTGGGTAGAATATAACTTGACGAGAGAGAAGAGAGAGATGAACAGTTATAACAAATGCACTGGTACTAAGATTTAGTACAACTAGAGGGGACTAAGTAGAGTGCACACTCGGCATTGATCATGTTCGACACTCAAAAAATACTAAAACTTGTCCATACGTCTGTCGTTATCAGTGGACACGGATCATTTTTAGCAGGACAATGAGGAATAATATTATTCATATATTCAACAAATTTCATCAAAATACATTCATTTTTGACTGAGTTAAAGAGCAAAAATAGTGTGAAAAACAGGTCCCAATGTTCTCAGATAGGGATATTTTGGATTTTTGTGACCTTGACCCCCCAAAAACTAACCTCTTCTGTTGTTATTTATCAAGTGTTTGATGCCATGAGCATAGTTTATGTACAGTTGTCTGCTGATCATAACATAACACACAATTGCCTGCTGATCATAACGTAACACACACAGTTGTCTGCTGATCATAACGTAACACACAATTGTCTGCTGATCATAACGTAACACACAATTGTCTGCTGATCATAACGTAACACATATTACATAAAAAATGTAATTTAAACATTTATGTGGAAAAATAAAGACAATAAAAAAATGTGTGTTACGTTATGATCAGCAGGCAATTGTGTGTTTCCCCCACAAGATTTTTTTTACTACTGTTACAACAGACGTTTACAAGATGATACAGAAATTAACTATTTTGTTTGAATTTCATATAAAATATAACAGACAAGAAGGAAGCACTGATTTTTGTGAAAGGGACTTACTTGTACTACGAATTGGTCACGTAACTAATCAGAAAAATTCATACAGGCTAGTTAAGAAGATTACTTTGTCTTTAATAACATATTATAATTACATATTTAAAAAATAAAAACTTTTACATCACAGTATCTTGGTTGTTTTTCAATTTGACACCAACACACTTTGCCGTTACTCGTCTCCTCTGAATTGAATTTCAATTTACATTAGAATCTGTACAGCCAAATGATATGCAAATTAGGCTATTTGTATTCAAATAAGAGATTACTTAATTCCAAGAATAAATCTTAATTAATAACAATAATGAATTATACTGAACTGTTGACGATCGTTCCAACAGTAGCGTGAATAAAGATATGACAAGTGTGCTATTACGTGGTCTCTAATTTATCACCTGCATTTAGTTGTTAATGAAATACTTGAGCTTGGCACTGTATTCAGTATGAAAGATCACGTTACTGTCTTCATTAAACTAATCTACACAATTTTATCACTAAATGGATGATACTTCCAATGTTTCGAGGTATGTTGCTGCCTCACTAGTAGAATGTTGTGACATCACCATTAAATTTTACCCTGAAAGAATTGCCCAGACTAAACACTTCTATGACTGTGCTTAATAGTTGCTGTTTAGTTAAAGTAACAATATGATGCTATTATAGAGTGCCGTCTACAAATATATTTACACTATAGCATGCAGTCTACAAAGATAATGGCATCATCACCGTTTTAACTTTCGTTTATTTGCAACTGGTGACAGTTATTATAAATAATGCCTTTAAACTAATAAGGTACAAAACACCATTATGTAATGTTTTGGGGACAAATATAATCGGAATGCAATAAATTCCAACAATCAAAACTAGCACAATTATAACCTAAATTTAAGGTACTGTTTTGGAACAAACAACTTATTAAATTATTATTATTTGTTGAACAACAACATGGATAGATATAAATCATTTAGCAAGAAATTATGTTTTAGTGAATCATTAAAACTGTGATGATGATAGTATCTGTGTAGACCGCATTGTTATAGTGTAAATATCTGTGTAGACCACATGCTATAGTGTAAATATCTGTGTAGACCACATTGTTATAGTGTATATATCCTTGTAGACCGCATTGTTATAGTGTAAATATCTGTGTAGACGCATTGTTATAGTGTAAATATCCTTGTAGATCGCATTGTTATAGTGTAAATATCTGTGTAGACCACATTGTTATAGTGTAAATATCTGTGTAGACCGCATTGTTATAGTGTAAATATCTGTGTAGACCACATTGTTATAGTGTAAATATCCTTGTAGATCGCATTGTTATAGTGTAATTATCTGTGTAGACCGCATTGTTATAGTGTAATTATCTGTGTAGACCGCATTGTTATAGTGTAAATATCTGTGTAGACTGCATTGTTATAGTGTAAATATCTGTGTAGACCACATTGTTATAGTGTAAATATCCTTGTAGATCGCATTGTTATAGTGTAATTATCTGTGTAGACCGCATTGTTATAGTGTAAATATCTGTGTAGACCACACGCTATAGTGTAAATATCTGTGTAGGTTACACGCTGTAGTAGCACCAACAATAGTCACTGGCTATTCCGATCTTCCATTTTTCAGGATTCAGCTTAGCACGGTATTTCTTCACACCAGTACAGTGAAATGGTCATCAACTCACCTGTGTAAAACGCCGAACTAGGCAAGTTTTCCCAACTCCAGCATTTCCAACTAACACAACCTTAAATAGGAACTTGTAATCCTCCATATTGAAACCGTGAAAACTCCTGAAATAAAAAAATTCATTAATTTAATAAGATTCTGGACTTTTCACAATAGCGCAATTTCGTTTCTTAGGTATGCAAACCTCAAAACAAAATTGTAAGTGAAGCCTAACTGGTGCTTTGAATAATTATCTCTTCTTACTTGTAATTAATACACTTATATTAATACCCCAAAACACTGCTTGGATGGCTCGAGTGACTTATCCACAACTATGATAAAATTCCTTTCTTCAGTCATGTGACTAAGTGGGTCATCATCTATATTAAACGTGTAGTCTAAATTATGACAACCCAAGTGTATTACCTTACAAGTACAATAAATAAAAATCACTTGTAAAATATCTGTCTAACTTACAAATTTATTCAAGTCTTTCTGTAATATCTTAATACAGCTAGAAATATCCAAGACATTGTCACTAATTATGACAATATCTCAAGTTAGCCAAACATCATAAGATATTATTGGGATTATGGCCAAAACTACCATTAACAGCATGGGTATCCAACTGATGAAATAATTCATTCTAATCTTTATACGGTGAAACGCACGTTTAATCAGAAACACTGATTGCCAGATGGACTTTGTTTTACTCTGAGTACATAGCTTGTTCTGATATTAATATTAATTAATTTCAAGTACAAAAAGCGTAGACCCAAGAAATAAGCCCTGAGGTTCTCTACTAGTAACAAGGGTCCACTAATAACAACTGTTTTTTCTTTCTTGCATTCAACCATCTTACAATACCTTTAAGTAGTCTTTCTACTGCCCCCTATTGATGTGATATTTTTAGCTAATTTCCTTTTTTTTTGTATGGAACCATATCAAAAACCTCTTGAAAATCTAAGTAAACCAAGTCCACACCCTTTCTATCATCCATAAAAAAGTAACAGTTACAAAAATAATAACAAATTACCTTTGAAAACATCCATGTTACTTTTCTTTTATGAAATCATACTTTGCCAAATTATTTTGTAAAGCTTCTTTTATCAAACTATCTAGTTTTTTCTGCTACAGAAATAAGACTTGGTGGCCAGTAACTTTTTACCACCTTCTTTAAAAATAGGAGTAACATTAGCAGCTTTTTAATCATCAGCCCACTTTCTATTGACCTACCAAAAAAAAAAAAAAAAGGAAGAGAAGCTTGTATATCTGATCTCCTTTAAAACTCTGTATGTATGTGAAGGGGGAAATTATTATATTTTTCTAAAGTGAAAAACAACATGTTGCCAGGCATTGTATTCTACTGTAGCTTGACAGCATACACAGTGAAAATTGTCACATTTTGATCAGGTTTTTCGAATCTTCTTGGGGGAGGGGGTGCTATTTCCTTTCTCCCCAATTGGTATCCTTGTGTTGAATTCAGGATAGTGTACACTATTATTGTGTTCTAGTAGAAACTATTGGAATGAAGATTCCACTCTTGACCGAACAACGTCAATAGTACTTTTATTTAGGTGTAGTATCAACGGTACTGATTTTATGGAAATATAACGCCAACAGTAACAGACATGGAGAAGACCTTCCGATGGTTAAAACAAAACCTACCCACGCAGACTATGCTAGAGTGTCACTGTCAGTCGTGTTAATAGACGCCATTAGTTTACAGTTATTTTACTTTGTGAATTGTAACATAGTCCAAATCACATAATACAATTTACAAAACAATGTTTGTCATTAAAAAACAGACAAACTGATGATAAAGTGATAAATTACAATTACCCCAATAACTTGAATAAGTGAATAACTTTGAAGTAACGTTTTCGACAACTTACGTATAGTAGTTTTTTAATCAAATTATGTTTCATGCACAAAGCAAAGGATAATGTTATTGTTTGTTTTTAAATTTACAAAGTAACCTAGACAATAAAATATATATAAAAAAGAATAGACTTAACCTTCGAAGTCAAACAGCAAATCTATAATGTTAGTGTTAAACATACCTTTGCGCTGCGCATTTTGAGTCGCCCCCTCTAACGGTAACAAATCGAATCACGAGATAAAGCCAATATGTTTGAACAGTATCTTCCTCTTTCCAGATATTTTAATTCAAGTAGTTAGTGTATGATATTTTTTTTTATAAATACTTATGTAAAAATCTGTTTCACAGTAGATTCAAGATATATTAGAGCAATATAAAATAATAAAAATGAGAGATACTAGCAGGAAAAATCAAGATTTCGACTATAGGGACGCAACTATATTCTTTCGTGGTTTGTTTGTTTGTTGTTAAGTACAAAGCTACACAATAGTCTTATCTTTGCGGTAGCCACAACGAGTACCGAAATTCAGGTTTTAGCGTTGTAAGCCTTCAGACTTATCGTTGAGGTTTCTTTTATTGACTCCAAAACTTTGAACACAGGATTCAGCATTTATTTTCTGCATACCGTTAGATAAGTTTCTCAGATGCTCCAAACACATAGAAAAACAATATCGATTATTTAACCAGTTTCTGTTCTAGAAGTGTTATGTATTGGTTATAACTTCTGTTTATATCATACTTGGGTTTTCTTTTCACTTTTCTGTCGTTCAAACAACGTTGGATGAAAATAGAAATAATGATGCCAAGCAAAAAATATTTTTTATTGTAGAACATATACAATAAATGCTAAATGATCATAGATAGTGAAGATGGAATAGCGTAATTTGGATTAATCATTAGTTTGAATTAAAATGCTGAACAGCAATAAAATATTTAGGTATTTTTGTGCGCTCCCTCTATTATTCAAAAATTTCAACAGAAAACGAAGCAGTATACTACAGAAAAACTGTATTACTAATGTTTTATATCAATTGTAATGAAGACTTGGATCGAGATCATATTTTGATATATTTTTACAGAATTTTATTTCAATATATTTCTTTCTCAGCAACGTATCTCATTTTAGAAAAATCAGTTTGTTCCATATATAATTGTGAAATACAAAACAAAAATTACAATGAGAGGCACTAATTAATTCTCCCAAAAGAATTGTTTTTGGGGAGAAGGAGGTAATAATGAGCGGTATCTACTAACGCAGTATATATTCTAGCCACTAGATGGCAGGAGTGAAGATATTTCTTCGTAATGTATATTTATAGTCGTATGCTGTATACGACATCAGGAGAAGATCATAAATTGGAATCTTGAGAGTATTACATAATTACTTGAAGACAGCTTATATGTTATAGAAAATCAGAATTTGGGAATTTTGATATTGAATACACAAAACTACAACAACGTATACAACTTAACTATTGAACTTTTATCAAACCTATTTTTAGCCGCGGTACAGCGGCTCATAGAATGGCTCTGATTTTTTTTTTCTTTTCAAGAATAGATCTTTAGCTCATAGCTCCATCTCTTGAACAATTTGAGATCTAACTACAGCCGCGGCTACTGAGTGTTCCCTCTTGTTTTTTTATCATGAGCAGAAAGTCGATTTTCATAAAAGTTTAAACAGTACTGTAACATAAAAAATAGATCGCATATCCATCTATATCATTTCACAGATAAGACATTAGTAATTATTTAAGATGATTCTCTTAAATTCAATTGAGTTATTTAAATTGTGGCAAAATTGTGTTTGAAGTTATTCAAATACCTATAGAAAGAGAGGTTTCTTTTTTATGAATGTTTGTTTGTTTGTTTTGTAATTTCGTGCAAAACTACACGAGGGTTATCTGCGCTAGCCGTCCCTAATTTAGCAGTGTAAGGCTAGAGGAAAGGCAACTAGTCATAACCACCCACCGCCAACTCTTGGGCTACTCTTTTACCAACGAATAGTGGGATTGACCGTCGCTTTATAACGCCCACACAGCTGAAAGGGCGAGCATGTTTGGTGTGACGGGGATTCAAACCCGCGACCCGCAGATTGCGAGTCGAGCGCCTTAACCACCTGGTCATGCCGGACCCTTTTGTGAGTGTAAAACACTTAAATACAATACGATTTTCTTAAATGATATTAACGTCGGATGCTTCAGTTCCATTTAATAAAAAAATGTGCATGGTTTTAATAGTGAATACTGAATAATTGTTTGTGCTCGAACTTGTACGACCAAATACTTCTTGTTGTTCATAAAAAGAAAATATATATTTTGTAAATTAGAAACCTGAGATTTAAAACTCAAAATGGTATTACCTTTTATTGAAACGTCCAACCTGCTCATTTAGGTAGTTCATTGTATAGCTACTTAAGAGTCATCTATCGAACATATTTGTACACAATAATGTTCGAAATAAAAATTATTTGTTTCGCTTTTCACATGAACTCGTGCTTAATAACTTTAAAAAATCAGTCTGTTGATTTACAAATGAAAATTCCCATTCATTCGAAGATACTCTCATCCGCAAGGTCAACCTGTGCTAGATGGGTCAGTTTTTAAATTTTTATAAGCAGTATTTCTTTTCTGTACTGGTAATTTTCTTGAATGTTTACATAGATCAGGGATTCTCAAACTGTGATACGCATACGATTGGCGGTAGGTGGAGCTAATGTCGGTGATACTCCACACAATTAGTATAAAAAATCATAAAAATTATCATAAGCCCTATCTGAACTTTCCACGTACATATACACACTATTCTCCTCACTTATAGACCTCCCCCCTCGCCAGAATTTTCAATCGCGCCAGAAAAACAATCGCATTCTTCGCATTAATGGATAAGTGTTAAATATATGAAATTTTATTACTAAGTTTTTTATTTCTTTAAAAATTAAACAAAAAAGTGGTAAGTGAACCTGAAATGTTTGAGAACCGCTGACGTATAGACCATTCGCGGAAATATTTTTTGAACATTGAACATAAGTAACTGAAGTATGGTTACTTAACGTGAAACGAGTGGAGTTTCACAATGTGCAACTAAGGCCTTTATTTTTGTGCTAATACACAATTTTTTTACGGTAAATATAAACTTTATCACATGAATGCCTATTTGTCCCACCTCAAAGAGAGATTTGTTGATCATGAGTTACAGTATGTTTAGCAATTTGCTACGTTGGCGCCCTCTCTTGGCTTAGCTTGGGGTTTTGGTGAGTTTAACGGCAGACGATAATTGGCGCCCTCTCTTGGATGTTTTGGTAGACTGCACTGATTATCAATATTATTATTTCCATACATCGCGAGTTAAAAACAACATTTTATTTAGGTAAACGATAAAACAGATCATATATATATAAATAAAGTCGTAAAATATATGTTTTCTTTATCTGTGTTTCCTTGACATCATTTCCCCACAAATTTAAATAACAGAAGTCGATAGGAGTTACCAAGCAACGTATTTATTCATTTTGATGGGTTTTTTTATATAAAATCCACACACACAAACACGACAAAACTGAAAAAATTTGCAGATCTCTTAGTACAGCACATAAAATTATCAAAGCATGAGATAGAGGTTTTTAAATAGTTTCATAACTTTCGTAACATTGAAACTTACGTCAAACATGAATTACTAACATTTATCAAATAATAAATCTTGGATAATATTAAATATGATCTAGAAAATATATTATTTATATCATAGGCGAAAATAGTTTTATTCAATGATATTAAGTCTCATTTAATACAAGATATATTGAATAACTGTTTGTGCTGGAACTTGCATGATCACATACTATTTATTATTTGTTCATACTCAGCTTTAAAATATTTACAAGTATTTCAAAACTTGACATCATTTTCATTAAAAACTAATTTTATTAACATTCAACAGAATGAAAAATATTCTTGGTACTTATTTTTTTACTATAGGGATCTTTTTTAGAAAAACTAAAGAAAGGGATTTATTTGTTTAGCGCAAAGCTACACAGTGAACTTTCTGCGCATGCGCTGTCTCTACAGGAGGAAATGAAAATAGGTTTAAAGGCGTTCATAGCAGAGAAGAGTTTTGTTGCCTCTGTTGTAGTTTGTTCCTGAAAAAAGAAGTCACAATAAATAATCAAAACCAAAACTAAAGATAATCCAACAACAGTAATGTCTGTGATAAACATCACGTTAAACTACTGGTGTTTCTCACGTTCTTTTTACTTCGTCCATTACGATTTTTAAGAGGGAAGTGAAAAAACAACAACAAACAAACAAAAACACGTACAGGTTTACTGGTTTCTAATAATTTTAGAGCTAACGAAACAAAACAAGCTAACGATAAAATAATTTCTGAGTGTGTTCTTTTTTCACGCAACTACGATTCCTCCCCCTTAAATATTCAGTTAACTAAGTTTCTTGATTAAGAAGAAGTCGTAAGTTGATATATATGTCCAATTGACCTCTACATGGTGATGTTTACACGTAATATTTTAAAAGCCCACCCCAATTGGCCCAGCGATAAGTCCGAGGGCTAATAACGCTAAAATCGGATTTCGATATCCGCCATTGGCATAGCACAAAATAGTCCATTAGGTAGGTTTGAGCTTAACAAAAAAGCAAACAGTTAGAAGCTGCCATAAAAACTGTCATATAACAACTAAAATAAACTTATAAATTTCTAAGAAATAATATTAATACAGGTTAGCGCAGTGTTTCTCAAATGTCTGGCAAATCCGGCTGAGAAACACTGGGTTGGCATATATTTCATAAACATAAATATTGGAGACAAATTCTATAGTAGTTTTCTAATCAGAACCGATGAACCAGTTTATGAACCAGTTTATTCTTATATTAGAAGTTTTTATTTCATAATACAACATAACCTTAGTTAGGCCTATATAAAACTAGTTGCAATACCTACCAAGTTGTTGTTGTTGTTTTCGTATAAAGCTACGTAATTGTGGCTATCTGCGCCGAGACCGTCGCGGGGATAGAACCTCAAACTTTAGAGAGACAAGTCCTGAAGCTTACCCCTGATTCAACTGCGGAGTTGATCAGAAGTTTCTTTTTTTTGTAATTAAGCACAAAGCTACACAATGGGCTATCTGTGCTCTGCCCACCACGGGTATCGAAACCCATATTCTAGCGTTGTAAGTCCGTAGACATACCGCTGTGCCACTGGCGGGGGGCGTGATCAGAAGTTACTGGTAATAATAATAATAGATATAATTTACTTGAGAAAATCACGCGGGACATAAACTCAATTTTCTTATACAGTAAAGGGTATTATCACTTTTAATAGGTACATGTTAGGTTATTCACAACTTATTAAAAGTTGGCTTTAGTTTTTGGACTTGTTGAATTTCGCACAAAGCTATTCGAGGACTATTTGCACAAGCCGTCCTTAATTTTTTAGCGATAGACTAAAGGGAGCTAGTTAACACCATCCACCCACCGCCAACTTTTGGGCTACTCTTGTCAGATCGAGTAGTGGGATTTGAAAAGCAAGTTCTTATTATTAAAAAATTAGTGTTAACAGGAAACTGTACTGCACATAGTGTTAGTAATCTGAAAACAATATGGCCGTGTGAAACAAATATGGCGGCTAGAAGCTATACATCATCGAGATCATGGCTTCACAGAAGTCGCAGAAGACTAACGTTAATAAGCTGAACGCAATCTATTGGTTAAATTTCATAGTTCGCGTCCCGTTATCGCGAAAAATAGCGCTCCGCACTTTCGGTCTCCAAGTGCGTTATAAGAGTGAATGCCTTGCTAAAAAAAAGTTAATAAAACATAATAAATAAATAAACAAACATCAAAACAATTTTTGTTTAAAAAAAAACACGAATGTTGAAATTAAAAACAAAAAAAAAGGGAAGAAAAAAAAAACAACACAAGCATGGGTTTGTACTATTCACATTTGGCGCCGTACACAAAAATACGAATTTGTTCGTAATAAAGCACAGTAAACACCCTTTAAATTCAAAACACCAGTAAAAAAACGTTCTTCTGCAGTTAGTTGATGACTTGTAGAGAATTAAACTTTCCAGTGTCACAAAACCAACCTTACCAGTTTCCTTGAAAGATAATGAAACAACTGAATTTTTACTACAAATATTTCTCCTGTTTAAAAAAAAACCCTGTTCTATTATCTTACAGTACCAGCTGTTTATCGGGTAATTCATTTATAACAACTGTAGCAAAACATTAATTTATAATACGATATTTAAAGCGAATTATAGACTTGTAGTGCAAATGCTTAAAAGTTCGATATTCCGACGGAAGGGGGCGCTTTGATTTCAAATGAGACGGAATTGTGGTAGCCCAAGTGTACGTGGTTTAACCCCATATTGAACCCCACACTACAAAGTTCAATCCCTTACATGGACTCAATTACTGTGAATGGGCTTTGTATTATAAGCCTCTATCATTGCAAAAAAAAACAACAAAATTCGCAGCATTGTTTTGAAAGTGGATTAGTTTTCTGTGTCGTGATTAAGATACAGAATGATAGCGATAGAACCATAAATCATTGTCTAAGCTCACACATGTATGGACATTCTCAGACATTTGTATTTATTGTAAGAATGTGTTTTTTATATATAATTAAATGTCGTTTTATCAATAAAAATATTCATATAATTCACTTTAATCCAAACAACGCATAAAGTATTTTTTGTGTGATTGAACAACTTGGATGACATAATCGGATCAGATCAATAAGATCGATACTGTATCAGACTCTGACCGATATTAAGAACATTATACTGCTTACATGTGACGATGTTTTCTTGGCATTAAAACCTTGTCTATACAATGAACAATTCCATCTTTAGTTAGTAGGTCTGGTTCGACAATATGGGCACTGTTGACCATCAAGTGACCTCTCTTTTTATGAACCTTGACCATGTCATATTCCGTACGGACGTCATAGGTGAGCTTTGGGCGAAAAGAGTGGGATGAAATCATATCGTCCACAATATGGTTCTGTACAAACTAGCACAAAGAGAGAGAGAGAAAAAAAAAGAAAATCAGGATGTGGGGGTGGGGAGCAGTTTTCAAATAGTATGATAAATTTTCAGAAATGTAGCTTTTAATTAATTTAAAATCAATTATTCTACATACAAAGAAAACACGTACATGCATGTTTAACGATTTTCTTATTCAACAGATGATCTTGTATATCTGCAGTTCTTAAAATATTCTTAAACTAAACTTTTCAACAATTGAAATCCATCGTTTATCAATTAAGATTATCAAATTGTACGTAAATAACGACGTTGTTTGCAATAGATCAAAATTATATTGAATCATATAAATGTATTATTAGTCAAATAGCTGTATTGAATTTGTGACAAATTTACTAAGGCTGTCTACCGCCATCCTTAATATCGAACTACTGAGTAGGGAGGGTGAGGAAAGACAGCCAGTCAGCAGTACTCCGCCCTCCTTAATCTCGAAATACTGAGCAGGGAGGGTGAGGAAAGACAGTCAGTCAGCAGCACCCAACCATCTTTAATCTCGAAATACTGAGCAGGGAGAGTGAGGAAAGACAGTCAGTCAACAGCTCCCCATCCTCCTTAATCTCGAAATACTGAGCAGGGAGGGTGAGGAAAGACAGGCAGTCAGCAGCACCCAACCATCTTTAATCTCGAAATACTGAGCAGAGAGGGTGAGGAAAGACAGCCAGTCAGCAGTACCCAACCATCATTAATCTCGAAATACTGAGCAGGGAAGGATGAGGAAAACAGTCAGTCAACAGCTCCCAACCATCATTAATCTCGAAATACTGAGCAGAGAGGGTGAGGAAAGACAGCCAGTCAGCAGTACCCAACCATCATTAATCTCGAAATACTGAGCAGGGAGGGTGAGGAAAACAGTCAGTCAACAGCTCCCCACCCTCCTTAATCTCGAAATACTGAGCAGGGAGGGTGAAGAAAGACAGTCAGTCAACAGCTCCCCATCCTCCTTAATCTCGAAATACTGAGCAGGGAGGGTGAGGAAAGACAGCCAGTCAGCATTACTCCGCCCTCCTTAATCTTGAACTACTGAGCAGGGAGGGGGGGGGGTGAGGAAAGACAGCCAGTCAGCAGCACCCCGCGACCCTTAATCTCGAACTACTAAGCATAGAGGGGTGGAAAAGATACCACTCAGCAGCACCCTATTACCTACACTAAGGAATTAACTGTCACTCTTACAACGCACAGTTTGAAATATGGGGCATATTTTGTGGTATTGTACGGGTTCGAATCTGGCTCTTCAGCTTCGAAATCTATAGCTCTACCACAGCGCCATCCTACGTTCAATATCAGTAGAAATAAAGTCGTTTGTCACCTTTTTAAGAGATTTCTCGTCTTTCATCACAGATTTCATGTCTTTGTGTCTCATCCGTTTGAAGGCCTGGTTTGTAGGAGCGAATACTGTAAATGAAATGTAGGAAGGTGTCCTACTGGACAAAAACTGGGGTTCAACTTTTCGGACTCTTCGGATAGCGTCAGTGAACATGCTTGAAAGAAAAAAAGTGTGCATATTATCACATAATATATGTATACACGAATATACTTATCACATAATATATGTATACACGAATATACTTATCACATAATATATGTATACACGAATATACTTATCACATAATATATGTATACACGAATATACTTATCACATAATCCATTGATATATGTATACACGAATATACTTATCACATAATCCATTGAAATATATGTATACACGAATATACTTATCACATAATATATGTATACACGAATATACTTATCACATGATCCATTGAAATATATGTATACACGAATATACTTATCACATAATCCATTGAAATATATGTATACACGAATATACTTATCACATGATCCATTGAAATATATGTATACACGAATATACTTATCACATAATCCATTGAAATATATGTATACACGAATATACTTATCACATAATCCATTGAAATATATGTATACACGAATATACTTCAGAATTTGAAACGTACTTTATTTTAGAATTCCCGACGTTTCGCCATTTCGGCTTCATCAGGAAAATATGAGCTAACAAATCAGTTACACGTAAGTTCAGAATCGTGTTCTCCTGATAAAGCTGTAATGGCGAAACGTAAAATAAAGTACGTTTCATTTTCTGAAGTATAGTCGTGTGCATGGCGAAACATTATGAAAACTAAAATCAAGTGAGTTTTATATTCTGAAGTATAGTTTTTGTGCATGGCGAAACGTTGAAAAACCTAAAACAAAGTAATCGTTATTCTCTGAAGTATAAACGTGTGTATGGCGAAACGTTAGGAAAACTAAAATAAAGTTAGCTTTATTTTCCAAAACATAGTCGTGTATAAGTATTAAAATACATTTAAAGCTTCAGTGTGCATAATGATTTCTTAATTTTGAAATATCACATCATTTATATCTATCTTATATACACAAACATATCATATAAACCACTATCCACTTGAGATATTGTAACAATATCACGTAATATATCCCTGAGATATTGTAACAATATCACGTAATATATCCCTGAGATATTGCAACAATATCACGTAATATATCCCTGAGATATTGTAACAATATCACGTATTACCCCCTGAGATATTGTAACAATATCACGTAATATATCCCTGAGATATTGTAACAATATCACGTATTACCCTCTGAGATATTGTAACAATATCACGTAATATATCCCTGAGGTATTGTAACAATATCACGTAATATTCCCCTGAGATGTTGTAACAATATCACGTAATATTCCACTGAGATGTTGTAACAATATCACGTATTACCCCCCTGAGATGTTGTAACAATATCATGTACTACCATATAAAGTACACTGATTTTCACTTACCTGAAATTAGAATTGTTTTCCAACATTTCCAGGGTGCTACTTTGAGGGGGCGTGAGGACCTTGTTAATGACGTGTATAACGCCATTCTGGCCTTCTTTGTCACCTTCCGTAACCATAGCGGATTCTACCCCCACAGCCTACGTGCACGGTTGAAAAAAAAAAAAAATTAAGAACAATTTTCAAGTTTCTTCACAAGAATGAAGGTCTCATGACGTCACATTTATTTTGGAGTTCTGAACATTTAAATAACTAAAATATAGACAAAAATGTGTTTTTCTTTTCTCTGTTAACCTAACTACTTTTGAGGTCTATAAGTATTGTTTGTCTGTTTTTGAATTTCGCGCAAAGCTGTACGAGGGCTATCTGCGCTAGCCGTCCCTAATTTAGCAGTGTAAGACTATAAGGAAGGCAGCTAGTCATCACCACCCACCGCCAACTCTTGGGCTACTCATTTACCAACGAATAGTGGGATATTAATCTCGACATAATAATTATATAATTAGGATTGTTTTTGTTTTCTGAAAATTACCCCCCCTCCCCCTTAGTGGCACAGCGGTATTTCTGCGGAATTACAACGCTAGAAACAGGGTTTCGATATACGTCGTGGTGGGAAGAGCACAGACAGCTCTTTGTGTTTAACAGGAAATGAGTTTTATAAAAAGTTAGTTGTTTTTTTTTTCGTTTTTCGATAGCCTATACTTATATATTAATTAAACTAAAGTTATTATATTGTTACTTATCTCGATATATGTGTGATATATATTATTATAAAGAAACAACAAACACTAGAGGATAAGAAGGCTTATCTCCAGTATTTATGATACATAACTTAGAATATATCCGATAGAGACCAGCACACTCAGCATTTTTACTGCCATCTAGCGAGCACCGATTATAATACGTGATAATATGCGAATATATTCGGGCAAGTAATTAAAAATATGGTTTGCCCGAATTAACTCGGGCAAATATTGTTTGAAACAGGGAGGACGCCCGACTTATCTCGGGCAAGTCAGGGAAGGCTTTAAGTAAATATTCGCTTCTATTACAAAAAAAAAAAAAAACCCTAAAAAACGTGGTTGTATAGTTTACTCCATCGTAAATAAACACTTGGAACTTTTAAATTTGAACCCTGATCACACACACACACACACACACATATATATATATACTCACTTTTTATACTTTAAATATACTGCAGAATATTAAAAAATTTGTTTTCTGTCAGTGTATAAACTCACGCTTTACAATTTACACAAATTATAATCTATCTAAAATCTAAAGTTAAGCTCTGGGAAAAAAACCATTATATTTATTATTAAACCGAAGTATTTGAAGGAGTTCCGGTCATTGTTTCTCAAAGTTTGAGCTAATTACGATTAATTATAATCAAATGGGAAACATGGGGCTACACTACGCCTAATAGAAATGGGGCTGACAATATTCTACGACCATCTTAGTCTTGAGACAAAGTTTGTATTTAATTATCCTCTTGGTTAATTCGGTGATGGTTTTGTTGAGTTTTGAAGATCGAGATTCCAATTAATTATAATTAAATGGGTCAGCCCCATTTCCATTAGACGTAGTGTAGCCCCATGTTTTAATATTCTACGACCATCTTAGTCTTGAGACAAAGTTTGTATTTAATTATTCTCTTAGTTAATTCGGTGATGGTTTTGTTGAGTTTTGAAGATCGAGATTCCAAAAAAGAATTAAAAAATATAACCAGACTCGTGTTGTCTTTTTTGTTTCAATAAAAAAAAATGAATATTTGCATAAAACATATTCTTAACCGGAGTACACAAAACACAGGGTTTTAAAAAAAAAAGTATTATTTTATTACCCTATGCCCTTTTTTTTCCGGAAAAGGGGGCGAGGATATTGAAATCGGGGCCGTGTGTGTCAGTCTGTCTGTCTGTGTTTCTGCGCGCGTATCTCGAAAACTAATAGACCGAGAAATACACGAACATTTTACACAAGATGGAAAGTCAGTATGGGAGAGTTGTCTTCAAATTTGGTCCGAATCCGGATTCTTGCTCAGTTTGTGAAGCATTTTTATCATGGGGAGATGGGACATTATTTGGGTTAATAACTCTGTAAAGTTCAACTAGTACCCCATTTCATGGGCACATTAAGGTCGAGACTCCTCATCACACTAAGAAAAAAAAACGATCCGGATTGTTGATCAATCTGAATCTGAGAAGTTAAAATTTGACGTTATCCAACGCATGCAATCTCGAAAAGGATCGGTGGGCGAGGGTATGCAGTCTTTCTTACTTGACATGTTAACCCTACCTTTCTGTAGACCTTTAACCTAAGCTGATTTCCTCCTATCGTCTCCAACCTCTGATTGTCCGAGAAGGTGTCCGTTTTAACTCGTCCTTGGACAATGTGATACTGTAATACCTTCCGAGCTTCGTCAGTGTTTTCCTTAAGCCAATATCGTCGCTCTTCGGGCAGTGCCTCAAAAGCGTTATCAGATGGAGCGAACACCGTGATGGTAATGTTAGGCCTCACTAATTCCTGTTCCAAGTTGGCGGAGCGCGCTAGCGTAGAGAAAGTCTTAAGATTGTTCGACCTATGTGCCAGATCCAAGACACTTCGTGCTAGGCAGAAAAACAAATAAATTAAATAGATAAATAAAATGAAGAGCATTTGAAAAATATTTTCAAATTTCACAACATTCGTGATTCGAAAATATATATATGATAAATATCAAGTTATTATTATTTCATGTTCACGATTTTATTATTATTTTATGTTCGCGATTTTATTATTATTTCATGTTCGCGATTTTATTATTTTTTCATGTTAGCGATTTTATTATTATTTGATGTTAGCGATTATTCACGGTTGTTTTCTTAGCGCAAAGCTACACAATGGACTACTGGCACTTTGAGATCGAACCCCGGACTTTAGAATTACGAGTCCGTAAACTTACCCTGATCCACCGGAACAGTTTACTCTTATTTTGATAGAATAATGACACAAACATTCACCTGTTTTTAATATCTTTATTATCAAGTTTATGTAGCTGAGACTTGTAAAACAAAGATATATTCGTCAGTAACTAATTTTCATGAAACAGTGGGCAATTTTTTTGCTAATTATGCTGGTGTCATTGTTGTAAAGAACCATAAAATACTCCTAGGAGACTTGATAGTGGCCTTAAAAGCTTTTAATATATATTTTGCTTACTTTTCTTGACACTAGGTGTCGCGATAACCAGGCAATTGAATATATATTGTTTTAAATTTTGAAACTAGGATGTAAAAAAAAAAACAAAACAAGAACTAACACATAATAATACAAACCATTTTTTTTTCAGAGTACTAGAGGAACTTAAAACGCTCTAATTTAAAAACCAACAGTATCTTCTTTGAAAACACTTTTACAAATAATATGACTGGGAATCGTTTTTTGTACTTGAGGAAGACATAAGGGGTCAAATCCGAACACCGATCCCTCACGCCACTCTCCAGGAGATCCTAAGAGTACATGTTAGGTTTGGTGACAATCGGTCTGGCGGTTCGTCAGTTATAAGTGGAGTCACACACACACACCAGACCTTTTTTCATACAATGGTTTAGGTTATTATGTTGCATGAGTATCTTAATATTTCATAGCAGAAACTAACCTAAACGGCTCTGTAGGTACACCGAAAATAATAAGTATAAACAACGAGAGAAAGGTACCATTCAATATATATGTTGTCGTCGAAGGTAGACTTCTCATGTCAGGGGGGCGACAAACAAAGAAACTAACTAACTCATTACAATAAAATGTTTACGTTTGTTTGTAATTAAGCACAAAGCTACACAATGAGCCATCCGTGCTCTGCCAACCACGGGTATCGAAACCCGGATTCTAGCGTTGTAAGTCCGCAGACATACCCCTGTGCCACTGGGGGGGGGGGCAAATTTTCACGTGGATGTAGTTCGTAAGACACAAATACAGTAAGTTCTTGAACTGTATCTGTCTTATAAGTTTTTGAATAACGTTTCATCAGGAGCTAACAGTTCTTCAGAAACTTCTAAGGAGGATACAGTCCACAGAAATCTTAAACCAAGTGCAGTCTTTTACGTCTTTTTTTTTTAAAAAGAGCATAACAAGTTAATTCCGGATGTCACAAAAATAAATTTCACGTACTGGCCATTCGGTGTTTCAATATTGAATCACATTGAAATACTCTCGAAGAAGATATTTATCATGATGTAATTACTAAATCTATGTTGATTTTCTAGCACTATTGAAACAACACGTGATTCCACATACAATCTGTGTGCCAGGTATAATAGGCAAACATAAAATTCGGACTGTAGGGGGAGATCCCATTGAATTCCATTGTAACCAATCAGGGACTTTCGTCAATGACGTCAAAATATCCCCTGAGAGCATAATGAGCAAGAATGGGGTCATTAACCTAATCTCAGACGTCCTTGTTCCCGAAAGAGGTGAGTTTTGGTTTTGTTAATTATTCAGTGATTTCACATTTTACTATTATTATAATGTTGTAGTTGATGGATCTATGTTGATTTTACTGTTATTATATCTTATATCATGTTGTAGTTATTAAATCTGTTTTAATTTTACTATTATTATATCATGTTGTAGTTGATGTATCTGTGTTGAAAGCTGAATCGTTAAGCAAACTTGCAAGATTCTGTTTATAATTTTATTTATTTTAGGGTTTATTGTTTGTATTTAAGTATGAATAAAAATATTGTAACGGTATTATTTTCATACTCCACTAAACTATCGTTATATAATGTTGTAGTTATTAAATCTGTTTTAATTTTACTATTAACGTCTTCCTCAGGAACAAATTAAGATCGTTATATGAAAGTAAAAAGTCGAAACGTTGAGCAATTAAAACAAATTTTCTGGAATTCATGGTCGTTTTATTTATTCGTAATTACATGTACTATGCTCCAGTAAGCATTACGTAAGCTAAAAAAATGTAAATTTATAGGTATTTGTTTATTTGTGAATTTAAAAAAAAATCAAAACGCGAATTTCACGAATAAATCAACACGCAGTCTTAATCTATTCCTTGATTCGCTACTTACATCAGAACCAGCCAATTACATAAGATGTAGTTCAGAAGTGAACTCTTATTGGTGGTTTCTGTGTTTCGTATGGTACGGTAGATTCTATGTTTCGTCTGTGCATCATGTCAAGTTATTAACGAACCCTTTTTTTGTGTGTTTAAAGTTCTGATTTCAAATCTTCAGGAATGTTATAATATCCGTATAAATGTCACGTTGTCTTGTTCCATAATAAGATATAAATACGGCCAGTACTTACGTACGCTACAGTACTGCTACCAGAAAAAAAATCAGTTAAAAAAAAACTCCGCTGTGGTATGAAAAAATAGAAATAAAAAAAATGGTTTGTTTGTTTTTGAATTTCGCGCAAAGCTGCACGAGGGCTATCTGCGCTAGCTGTCCCTAATTTAGCAGCGGAAGGCAGCTAGTCATCACCACCCACCGCCACCTCTTGGGCTACTCTTTTACCAACGAATAGTGGGATTGACCGTAACTTTATGACGCCCCCACGGCTGAAAGGGCGAGCATGTTTGGTGTGAGGGGGATTCGAACCCGCGACTCTCAG